CCCAGAGTCGGCACTGCTGTAAAACTGACACATGGAAGTGCAAATGAAAGGAGGTAACTTAAACTCCAGGCCAAATGCGGAGTAGTACACCAGTCCCTCAGCACTGCTGGCAGACCATGAAAGAAGGCTCGCATCCTCACCTTGCTGGCATACGGCTTTAATGCGTTAATGGTCTCGACATCAAAGGCATCGTCTTCCTCCTCTCCAGCTAACTCCTCCAGCCCAGCTTCTGCCTGCACTTCCAGGACGGTGCTGCCAGGGGGCACGATGACAGGACGATGTATGTAGGCGGTGGAACCATCCTCGAGCTGGACAGCCTCAAAAGTGCTGGAGTCGTAATTTTCTGCAAGGGGAAGCAACAAAATCAAATGTAAGAGCTGCTGAGCGGGAGCCACCCGTCATCTCCCCAGGCTACCTACAGCCTTGGAGCCCCGTGACAATTCAGCACTTTCTGCTCCAGCTGCCACGAAAGGGGAATATTTTACCTTTAGGTGCGTTCTGTATGTAGACCATGCTGCCATCTTCCAACACTATTGGCTGCCCGTCTTCGAAAGATACAGGCTCTGAAAAAAAAGGGGAAAAAAATCCACACACTTTATTGGGAGACTCAGATGAGACGGAGGGGTAGTGCACCAGCTCCTGAGCACTGCAGTAACCACAACTGTAGTTTTAAGACACTGCCTGAGCCCTTCAGTCCTAATGTTTGACTTTTTTTCAGGCTTCACGCATAATTTCATGGCACTTCTTCAGCTCTTCGGGGTAATGCAACATTTCACCAATTATAAACTGTCAGGCTACGTCCTGGACGTGATGTACAGCTCTAGCACAGATGTGTAGAAGATAACACACAGAGCCCACGGCAGGGGAAGCAGAGATGACAATGAAAAGCCCTTGCACTGTGTGTGGGTGTTTGGAGACAGGAAGGAGGATAAAGGGAGGAAAAGGGCAGAGCCAGGCACGCAAAATGGATTTCAAGCAACCTTTGGAGAACAGAAATGGGAGGTGGCAAAGAACTTGGCAGGGTGAAGGGAGGACTGCCCAGAGCAACTGATTTCTTTCTACCTGCCCTTTCATACCTGGCTGAGGAGGATTGCTTTGTGCCACTTTCCTTCCTGCCACAGGAAATGAATTCCCATCACTTCTGGGACTATCACCACCTCATTTCATAGCTGATGGCCCAGTGAACAAGGTGACAAAGCTTCCAATAATCCACACCCTTCCCCCTCAAACAACTATTTCAGAATGTTATCTTATAGGTCAGAGGAAATTCCAGTTCAGCTGCTCCTAAATGGAACAATTTTTGTTCGGGCTCCATAGTTAGCACAAACACAGCACACAGCTCGCTGGCCTTGCCTGCAGACTTTTGATCCAGACGGACAAAATGTGAGAGCCCACACGTGGCACAACACTTAACAAGCATTTGCTTACCACAGCAGCAAAATTAGCTTCTTGACAAATCGCTAAGAACTATGCAGGAAATCACATGTTCTATGTTCTTGCTCACTCAGCCTCAAAACCATGGAAATTTAAAACAAGCAAATGAACAACAAAAAAAACAACACTAACCCTAGAAGGACTCAAAACTAGAGCCACAACTGCTGGGACACGGATGATTTCCATCACATCAATGTCCTTCTGAGGAGAAGGAAGGTGAATTTACAGTCCTCACCTTTCTGAACCGTCACCTGATGGATATAAGCTGTGGTCCCATCTTCAAGTTCAATGACTTGGCCTTCGATCAGCTTTGCATCTGGAACAGTTAAAAACAACACCATTAGCGCTGCCCGCAGAGCCCACAGCCCTTCTGGTCTCACGAGCTGTCCCTTTGGCTGCGCCTTCTCAGGGAAGGCGGTCACACACAAGACAGTGTACCAAGGCTAATAAACAGTTATTTATCGTGCTTTCCCCTCAGCCACAGAGGAACTTGACTTCCCAGACCTCCCTTTCCTAGACAGGAGAATAGAAGACAAAGAACCTCAGTCATCACTTGTTTACAAGCTGCCCTTCACGGCTCCTTAAGCCAAGAAGCAGAAAGAATGATGTGTGCTAAGCACTTTGGATTTAAAGTAGAAAGGAGTTCGACTTGTGCTGGAGAAAGCTCAATTGTCAGCTTGTAATGGCATCAGCAGTGACCTGAACATTTATTTTCTTTTATTTTACTTTACTTTTTCTTTACTTAGGTTGAGGATCAACTCTTGCAGAAAAATTAGAGGTCCTAAAGGGGTCTCAAGCACTTGATGAGTTGGGAAGACTGGACTCTTAAAAAATAGTGCAAATCTGAGTAACCCTGCAATAACGTTTTAGTTACAGTTATTCTGTGCAGAGCAGACACTGCTCCATCCCACCTGAACTCAAGGAATCCAAGTTGCTCTCACCTGGTGCAAAGTGTCTAGGGGACAGGTCACAAAACCTAGTGGTTTTCAAGAAAGTTCAACTCCACGTATTGAACAAATTTCCAGAGTTCACACAGAAAAGTAAGCAAGCCAGAAATCACAAGGACCTGGAATCCTTGCAACCTGATTCCTGTTCCATGAGCCGGGAAATGACACGTCCCTTTTCTCAGGAACAGCAGATGGTGAAGAAAGGAGCACCTTACAAACCCCAAAATAAGGGCAGGTGTTGGGTTTGGCACTGCTGCCACGACAGTTAACCAACACTGAGATCAGATCTGCATCCCCTTGCGTGAGACGGGCACTGCTGTGAACCAAACGCTGCGCACCTCAGTGGAGGCAAGCCTTCTGCTCAGCTTCAGGGGAAGTTTTGGATGAATAAGGTCCTGCACGCCACACAGGTGACACAGTTGGAAGTATGAAGCAACAACACAAATTACACGACAGCCCGTGTGACATCAGGACATTTTTGAGAACTCCAACTTCCATTTCAAGGGGTTGTTCAAGAGGCTTTTATTATTTCCAGCCCAAAAAAGCCGTTACCTTTGACAGCCTGCTGAATGTAGGCTGTCGTCCCATCACTAAGGGTCACTGCTTGCAAGCCCAAGCTCTCCATCCTGCCCTGGTGACCTGTCCTCAGACATGAATTTCGCTTTACTTGGTGTGCTCTCGGGGAGCGCTGGGACTCAGAGCACGAGGTCAGTGGAACAGTGAGTCCTCTTCTTCGTTACAAGCCTGAAATAAAAAGAACAATTCAAGTTTTATTTTTTCCCCTGAAGTATACGTGTTGGTTTTGGCACATTCATCCTGGAGAAGAGAGGGCTCTGGGGAGACCTTATAACAACTTCCCACTACCTAAAGGGGGCCACAGGAAAGCAGGAGAGGGACTCTTTGTCAGGGGGTGGAGTGACAGAACAAGGGGAAATGGTTTTGAAATAAAAGAGGGGAGATTTAGATTAGAATTCTTTACTCTGAGGGTGGTGAGGCCCTGGCACAGGCTGCCCAGAGGAGCTGTGGGTGCCCCATCCCTGGCGGTGTTTAAGGACAGGCTGGATGGGGCTCAGCACAGCCTGGTTTAGTGAAAGGTGTTGAGGTGGAACCAGACATCTGTAAGGTCCCTTCCATCCCAAACCATTCGGTGATTCTACCATTCTGGGTTCCTATGACTCTAAGACATGACAAAAAGCTTGAGTGGCAAACTTTTGGAGTCCGTAAAGGCTGATATTGGCCAAAAGATGCATTTTTCCTATACCAACATCAGGATTGTCTAAAAGGCAGGGCAAGCAGCCTGCCTACAGACAAACACACGATAAAACTCATCAAGCCAGCGGACAGACAGGACTCTTTGTAGAGTCAGCGTGAATGCCACACCCAACCCTCCTCCAGAAGGCCTGCAGGACAGGTGCCCAGACCCCTTAAACCCCGACCCCACAGCCTGGAGGCGAGCTGTGCTGGCAGGGGCGGGCTGACAGCGCCTGGAGGTGTCCTGGGCTGCTCTTCCCTTCCCAGTTCCCGGCTTAATAAATTGTAAACTTTGATTTATCACATGTGGGACCCGAATTTCGGGCCTCAGGCAGGCGATGCCAACCCCCCCCCAGCACTTCTTTTGATGCCCACCTGCAGCGGGACTCCTCAGGGGTCACCTCAGAGATAACCCAGGCTTTTATCACTTTGCCCTGGTATTTTTATCATTTTACTTCCCAGAACCGCCAGTATTCTATCACTTTGCCCTAATATTTTACCTTTTTGCCTGCCCAGAACCACCAATATCCCATCATTTCACCCTAATACTTCATTTCTCCTTCTGAGAACCACCAATATTTTATCATTTCACCCTAATACTTCATCACTTCTCCCTAATATTTGATTTCTCCTTCCCAGAACCACCAATATCCTGTCATTTCACCCTAATATTTCACTTCTCCTTCCCAAAACCACCAATATTCCATCATTTCACCCTAATACTTCATCATTTCACCTCACTATTTCCCCACAGCAGCCTCCCCCCGTGCTGTGCCCCCCCCGGAGCCCGAACACCCCCCCGGGGCCGAGGGGACCCCCCCGGGACTCCCCTTTTGGGGTCCCCCCCTCAGGGCCTGGGACCCCCCTGGGCCCCTCCCCCCGCCCCCCCCGGCACCGACCTGAGGCAACCCGCCGGGCCCGAGTCCGCCGCCGGCCCGCCATGCAACGCGGCCCGGCCCCTGCGCGGCCCGCCCCGCAACCAGCATAGAGGCAGAAGGCGCCGCCGAGCCCCGGCCACCCGCGGGCGGTTATTCAGGTTCCGGGGCCCCGCGCCGCACAGCCCCTCACTGCCTCCCGGAAATGGGCTGCAACGGACAGCTTGAGGCGAGTGAGATGCGCATGCGCAGTGCCCTACGGTGAAGCCAAAAGGCACCGGGCGCCTGGTGTGGGCAGGCCCGTTTCGGGGCTCGCCCGTGGAGCTGCCTCCACAAAACCACCGGGTAAACACGGGCAGGGCCGGCCCGCGAACGAAAGGCCTGTGGGGAGCAGCCGAGAAGCGGCGGAACCCGCCGCGAGCCCTCTGTGCCGCACCCAAGATGGCGGCTCCGTGCCTCACACCGCGCCACTCCCAGCATGGCGCCCGGCGCTTCCTGCTCTCGCGAGATTTCCGGCCATATTTATAGCGCGCGGGGCCCCGCCCCCCTCCTTTCTGCCCGAGCAGCCGCCGCCATGAGGTGGGTGAGGGCCATCCGCCGCCATCCTCCGCCATCCGCTGTCATCCAGCCCCGATGAGCGGCCCGGGGGGTTGGCCAGGGGCTGGGGAATGGCGGCTGATAGCGGGGATGAAGCGCGGATGATGCGGGGCGGGCCCGGCGGGCTGGCCCTCCGCCCGCGGCCTAGCCCCGCGCCTGAGCCCGCGTCGCTTCTCCCCCCGCAGCAGCAAAGTGTCCCGCGACACCCTGTACGAGGCGGTGAAGGAGGTGCTGCAGGGCAGCAAGACCAAGAAGCGCAAGTAAGAGCCCGGCCCAGGCACCCTGCCCACTCCTTGCCCCCTTCCCTCACCCCCCTGAGCCTTTACCCGGCTGCTTTCCCCCTTTCCCCCCCCCCCCCTCCAGGTTCGTGGAGACGGTGGAGCTGCAGATCAGCCTGAAGAACTACGACCCGCAGAAAGACAAACGCTTCTCCGGCACCGTCAGGTTCGCCAAACTCTCGCTCCCACCCAGCCTTCAGCCCGCAGCCCCCCTCTGATGGGCAGGGTGCTTGGCCCAGGCGGTGCTGAACGCCCAGGGTAGTTCAGAACACCCCCTCCTCAGGGGGTGCTGCTGGACGGACCCCCACCCTGGGTCTTAAAACGTGAGGGGAGGTGCGGGCAAAGCCACGGCGCTGCCCCCACCGCCCTGCCCGCGAGGGCAGGTGAGGAGCCGTGGAGGAAGGCGGCGAGGCGCTGCGGTAAGGTGGCACCGTGGTGGGGTCGCTCTGGTGCGTGGTCCTGCAGCGTGGGGTGACTCGGGTTGTGTCCGCAGGCTGAAATCAACCCCCCGGCCCAAGTTCTCGGTGTGCTTGCTGGGCGATCAGCAGCACTGCGATGAGGCCAAGGCCGTCGACATCCCGCACATGGACATAGAGGCTCTGAAGAAACTCAACAAGAACAAGAAGTTGGTGAAGAAGCTGGGTGAGTGGTGGTGGGGATGGGTCAGTGAGTACCGTGGTTGAGCTGGGAGGGCTGGGCAAGCAGCACGGTTCTCCCTGTGCTTGGATTTCCATGACATGATTAGTAGGAAAGAACAGAAAACTGCCCAAAGTCAGCAAGAAGAACAGGGATCTGGCTAAAAAGTACCTAGAAGAGCTAAGATCCTTCAGGAGTGCTGGGTGATCACCCTCTTCCAGAAGGAGGGGATGCAGGAGAACTGTTGGTATCTCCCCAAAGGTAGCGCTGTTCCCTGGTGCTCCTTTCCTGGTCAGGGAGCTGGAGAGCAGCAACAGCAGAGTAAAAGTGGGGGCAAGACTTGGCTTTAGTCCTGAACTACTTACATGAACAGAATGTGACTGACTTATTTTTACCTGGTAGCATATAGGGCTTTTCCCTTTCTGCAAAATCAGTCATTTTGACACATGTCAAGCAAAGAAAACTTCGCATTCAGTCATAATTAATCTCAGAACCACATGAAGGTGGGAGGTGATGCAGGAGGCGTGCTGGGAGCTAGACCTGGCAGGTGAATGTTACACCCCCCTCCAAACGGGCACAGAACATCAGAGGAGGCTCCTGATGCAGCTCAGAGTTGAGTGGCAGTGATGTGGCACAATAAATGTTTTTCATGGGAACAATTACGTACAGCAGGGGTGCGGGGTCACCGTCAGGATGTGAGGCTGGGTCCTGGCAGGGCTGGCTGCTGTGCCAGGAGGAATTGATAACAGGGTTGGAAAAAGGCAGGATTCTGGGAATGTGAGTGTGTTGGGAGGAAATATAGAGGCCGAGCTGAGCCGAGGGTCCTTCCTCACCTACCTTTGCTCTCCTCACAGCCAAGAAGTACGATGCCTTCCTGGCCTCCGAGTCCTTGATCAAGCAAATCCCTCGAATCCTGGGTCCAGGCCTGAACAAAGCTGGCAAATTCCCTTCTCTCCTCACTCACAATGAGAACCTGGTGGCCAAGGTGGACGAGGTCAAATCCACCATCAAGTTTCAGATGAAGAAGGTAAAAAAAAAAAAGCACAGGGCTTGGAGCTGCTGAGGCAGCTCCTTGCCTTACCTGGGGGTTGGCAGGAGATCCCTTGTGCGTGGCTGCGATCTCTGCTCTGGGCTGTAGGTGTCCCTGCAGCATCTTCGACCAGCTCCTGGGAGCAGCATCACAGCGCAAAGGGCTGCAGCCACCAGAGCGTTCAGCTGCTAACTGGGAAGGAGCAATTTGCGGTTGAAAGATCTTAGAGCAAATGATTCGGAGGCGATCCTGATGGGAGTGCTGAGCACAATGGCTCGTAATTAACACTCATCTCGCAGCGAGCGGGTGACACTTGCAGGGTGGGGCCCTGGTGCCCAGTGGGGCTGTGCAGGCAGCAGTGCTTTGGGGCTCGACTTCAAAACTGAGCTTCGTGGCAGCTCTGCGGATGTCTGCTCTCTCTGTCAGAGCTGGGAAGGACTCCCTGAAACCAAAACAACCCCATTTAGGCATGTTAATTCTCTGCCAGTGGTCTAAATGCGACTCCTGGGTATTGCTCAGAATTAGCAGCTCTGCTAGCTGAGGTGCGCCCTCGGACTCCAGCTGATCTGGGCTCGAGGGCACAACAACTGGAAGGACCCAGCGAATGGGAGAGTTTGCAAATGCTGCAGTGTTTCAAGCAGCCGAGCTAATGATATCCTGACACTTCCCTTGTCAGCTCGCTCGTAAATCCTTTTGTCTTCGGCCTGTGGGGAGCGTTGCCTTGCGAGCTGCTTGGCGAGGCTGGCAGGCGGAGGCTTGGCCCCCGCGTGCGTTGTGCGCAGAAAGAAGGGGCTGCTGCCAAAACAGAAAGCGAAGCAGGCGCCACGCTTAGGGGTGAAGTTTGGAGCTTACGGGCTGGGTTAGCAGCTCGCAGGGAATGTGCCAGCGCTGCCTGGCGAGGGGGGCACGGGATCAGAGGTAGAGGAGAGGTTTTAGCCTGCTCCCCACCTGCTCACAGCGCGTTACACTCCTAACCCTGGATGAGCTGGGGAAATCCTGTCCAGCTGGCAGAGCAGGCGGGGATCTGGTACCTCAGGGCCTTGGGTTCTTGCTGTGCCCCTCAGCATGTGCGTGACCCCACTGTGCTGTCCCCAGGTGCTCTGTCTGGCCGTGGCCGTGGGTCACGTGAAGATGACTGAGGACGAACTCGTCTACAACATCCACCTGGCCATCAACTTCCTGGTGTCCTTGCTGAAGAAGAACTGGCAGAACGTGCGTGCCCTGTACATCAAGAGCACCATGGGGAAGCCCCAGCGCCTGTACTGAGAGGGCAGCAATAAACTTTTTAGGACACTGACGGTGCGTTTTGGTGGTGTTTCTCCAAAGCTGCTTGGGCAGGGCTCTGTAAGGAGCTGCTGGTGGGGACATGAGTTCAAGGGGAGCACCAGAATTCACATGGGGGCTTTTGGAGGAGCAACACAAGGGGGTTGCTTGGGAGGGACAGGCTTCTGATCCCACAACCAGAGCAGGAGGAAACAGCTCCATTAACACCTAGAATAACACCTAGAACAGGCAAAAGGGAGGTGATGACCACAAAGCTGAAGGCTCACAGTGGGGTCACTGCTCAGCAGTTGAGGTGGGGCCCCAGGTTCCCCCCGCTCCTCCCCAGAAGGGTCCCTCACCTCATGGGGGCAGCTCCCTGCTCCAGCAGCCTCCTTGCTCCTGGGGGTGGGCTCGCATTTATAGGGTTTTGCTGTCCTTACAGGGACCAATGAAGGGTCAGGGGCTCCTCCTGCCCAGCAGCAGCTCGTGAGGACCTGATGGGGCTTTCCAGCTGGCCCCAGTCACCTTTGGATTTAGGGGAACGGGCCCTGCTGGGGGCTCTCAGCAAGGGGTTGGTGCTGGCCCCAGTACAAGGAGCGGTTCTTGGCGGCTTTGCTTTGCTCTGGCCTAGCAGAGGGGTCCCGAACCAGTCCCCGTCCAATTTCTGGGCTAAAAATGAGATTCAGTGCATTTAATTAACGTATATAAATAAATACATTGTGTGGTGGCTGGTGGGCTGATGGCAGGCTATAGGATTTAAATTTCTGGGGAAAGAAAAAAAGCCCTCTACCCTTGAACAGAGCGCGTCGTAGCATCCAAGGGAACAAAACAATGAAACCAGCTCTGGAGCCTGCTGTTAGAAACCTTTAAAATAAGTGTCAGAGCCAGTTTCTGAAAGATCAACACAACACCAAGAAATTCCATTTAATAATTAAAAAAAGACAATACAAAATGCAAACATTTCTTTTTACAAAGTTCAGATACATTTTTTTTTTTTTAATCAAGTGCAAATAACTTTATGAACTACATCTTTCTCGTTAACTTTACTCATTTTGCTGGAGATGGTAAATCACGGCCTACTGCAAAAGGCAGATATAAATATTCCAACATGAAAAAAAAAACAAAAACGACAGAACACACAACAACCCTTCGTTACGTTCCCCGCGTCAAGACATTCAATCCATCCGAGAGGTGGCTGGTGCCGTTTTCAGCCTTTCAAACCTTTTCTGAGTCATTTTTTGGGGGATTTGTGGCAAAAGGACCCGCTCCTTCCTGGTGGCCCCGTGGATTTTCGGGCGGGTTGGTTGGGAATATTGGTGAAAAAGGGGAGGATTTGGTACCAGAGCTCTTTGTCCTTCACGCCAGGACGTGCCACCCGGCTCGCCTCTTCCAGAGCTGCCTCTGGGGACGGAGGTGGCCGGCGTGGGGACATGTGGCACCCAGGACAGCCCCGCAGGGTTCCCGGCGGCAGCAGCCCCGATTTTAAATCACGGAGACTGAAAAAAAAAAAAAAAAAAACAAAAAAAAACCTGGGGGGAGGAAGGAGGGGCTGCACTGCACCGGGGCCACCAGGGCGTGCGTTCCCGGGGTGGGTTTTTTTTTGGTCCTTTTATTTCTTCTAAAATATGAAAGCCCCTTTCAGCGGTCACTGCTCCGCTGCGACTACCCTAGAGCAATAAAAAAAGAGAGAAAAAAAAACCTCCAAATCCCTACAACAGCTTTTGTGCATCAAAGCAGCTGCTCGCAGGCACCAACCGAGTGACAAAGAGCTCGGCCCCCAGATGTCGAAGCTTCCAAGCGGGCTGGGAGCCGGGTGGCAGGAGGGACGAGCCCGCAGCTGCGATGAATCAGGGATCAGGGCAGCCTCCAGCATCCTGGGGACAAACCTCAGCCCCGCTCCACCGGCCCTAATCCAGCCTGAGCCCCTCAAAACACCCAGGAGAAGCTCTTGGGGTCCAGATTGAGGAGGGGAAACCCGGGTGAGCAGCCGGTTTTGGCACGGACCCAGCCTGGGTCATCAAGGGGGACGTGGTGCAATAAATAATTGCTCGTTAAGAGCCTGGGGAGCGGGGCTCGCCCCACGTGAGGTCAAGGGACAGTGAAAAGCAGGGGTGGGGACAGGCAGCAGCAGAGCTGAGCCCCAGCCCAGCACCTTCCCTCCAGGAGCAGCAGGATGGGGTTGGGGATGGGGGGTGACAGCCAAGACCCGGTGGGAACGAGGGATGGAGAGGAGGACAAGAGGGTGCCGGGTGGCAGCGGGGTCGGTCCCTGTCCCCAGGGTCCTGTCCGGCCACGGTGACCCCCACGATGCCATCGTCACTGTGGTGCCTCTGAGGGTAGGATGGATCCCTTAGGCTCCTGCAAGCCTGGGAGGGAGCTCAGGAAATTGGTGCCACTGCGTTTCCGAGGGTGGCACCTGCACCCCAGGGGTGGCATCTGCACCCCAAGGTGTCACCCAGCACCCCGAGGTGGCACCCAGCACCCCAAGGCACTTGGAAGCACAAAGCTTCCCGAGAGCTGAGGAGGGCGCAGACCCCAGTCCCTGGGGGCAGAGATGCTGGGGGGCACATTGGGGTCCCTGAGCGCAGCGGGATGACAAAACCCCTGGCAAGTGGCACCAAGGAGGTGCCGTGGCCGAGGGCTGCACCTTGCCCTCCTGGCAGCCTCCGACAATCCCAAACTGCTCCGGATCAGCCCCAAAACGCGTGGCACCGACGCTGTTTATGGACAGAGATACCTTGAGGCCTCCCAAAAACTCACCCCATCACGCAGCGTGGCCAAGCCCCGCTTCCCTGCAGAGAGAGGCGTGGGCTGTCCACCAAAAGCGTTATTTTTTGGGAAAAAAAATGCGGCAGAAAAGGTTCCAAGGCCTGAAAACGCCATCGCATCGCTCGCTGGCAATCCAGGGCTGGGCTGGTTGGTTTGTTTCTGTGGCAGACACACATTCTCATTTCTCAGGCAGGTATAAATATCGTAGTTTCTAGTAGAAAACAAAAACAAAACAAAAAAAACTTCCCTCTAAATAATATAAAGAAGACTCAAACGATTGCACTTAATACATATGAAAAAAAAAAAAAAAAAAAGGTAGAAAGGAGGATATCCTAGTGCACAAACATTTACTCCTGCTCTTCACAAAGCTTGCTTTTTCCGTCGACGAGTTCCTCTTTGGCAGAGCTTGCAAGAAAGTCTGGTTCCTTGGCACAAGTGTCTCCGGGAAGGGGGGACAGGGGGGGGGGAAGGCGGCCGGCTGAAGCCCTCCTCGGTCGCTGCAGTTTTTCTCTCCCGTGCAGCCAGACGTTGTTCTCCGGGAACGTGGCTTGGCTTTCCTCCTCCCGCGCCGAGCACCGGTGCCCCTGTGCGCCCGCTGCCGCGCCGTCCTTTACCTTCTCCTTGTTATTTTTTAATCAAGCAGGCATCACGTCGTGTGATTTATTATTTTTTTTTGCCCCCATCTCCTCCGCCAAGCTGTGCTGATGGCCAGGACCCAGGAGCTGCGTCACCTCCCGGCTGAGCCCCGGGGTGCCGGTGGCATCGAGGAGCGGGACGGAGCCGGCGCGGAGGCGAAAAGGGAATTCAAAAGGGGTTTTTTTGGGGGGGAAGCTGCTTCGGAAGAGAGGAGCAGCATCGCCGGCGGCTGAGACAGAGCGTGCCGAGACATCTGCGGAGCGGGAGGTGGTGGTGGTCCTGCCGGAGCCGAGAAGGGAGGAGGAGGAGAAGTGAAGTAAGAAGGGAGGGAGAGGAGGGTTTCCTCGGCAGCCGCGTGGCGCGGGGCGGCAGGGCGCTATTTGTAAGGCCGGAGGAAGCTGGAGACTTTGGAGCGCAGCAGCTTGATGAAGGAGCGGGGCAGCATCTCCTTGTGCTTCTCTGTGTACTTGAAGTAGTTCTGGGGGTGCGCCAGCACGTCGAAAAACGCCTTGATCAGCTTCTTGTCCTGCGGGGAAGCAGAGCCGGGGTCACCCTCCCCTCCTGATCCCGCTGGGGCAGCTCCCCAAAACCCCAGCACGACCCTGAACCGAAGCAGGGAGTTGAGTTGCGCTCACACCAGGGCTGCCAGGGAATCCCAAACCCCTCCAAGCATCCCGCTAAGCCCCCGGTGACAAGGCCCACACGGGGACGCGCTCACCTTGAGGATCTCCTGGTGGTTCTCGGAGGCGTACAGCCTGCCGTCCCGCACGATGTCCTCCACCAGCTGCTCGTAGTCCTCTGCAACACCCGAGCGAGAAACCAGCTCAGGGGATGCATCCCCAAACCTTCACCCCCCTCCCCAGGCACTCCCAAGGCGTGCAGATTTGGGGTCCCCGGGTAGCAGGGAAGGGATGCCGGGTCGAGCTGCTCTCCCCGTGCTCACCGTCGTAGGTGACGTAGGGGATCTGGAAGCCCCGGGCGCTGTTGGCCTCGCTGGTTTTGAAGTTGATCCACAGCTTGCGAGAGCGGGCCGTGAAGGCGATGGGCCTCTCGTACGTCTGGCACGTCTCGTAGGTGGTGATGGAGGACGGCGAGGCTGCGAGGGGAACTGGCCGGGGGCTGCGTGACGACCCCGGCCCCACCGCGCCAAACCCTCAAAAGGGGGCGAGAGGGGCAGAGCAGGGGGCACCAGGGTGGGATTGGCCACGTGCAGCGAGGCTGAGCCCCCTCCCAGCCCCTCCTGTTAAATGGCAGGGGTGCCCATATCCCTTCCCTGGAATGAATGGGGTTCCTTTTTCCCTTCCAGAGGTTTTAACCCCGGAGAAATCGTGCCGAAGGGCGCTCAGCCCAGCTCACCGTGCGCAGCCCTACAAACCAACAAGGCACTGAGCAGGCGGGTGACACCGATCCCTTCCCACCCACCCATTTCCTAGAAGCACCCCACCACCTCCATCCCGGGACGGGGCTTTTCCCCTTGGAATAAATCAGCTCAGCTCTGCCAAACCACGGCTCTGCGCTCCCCCCGCGGCGCGCTCGGTTACCTACAGTTTTTCCGCATGACCAGGACGTCCCCGCACTCGTCCTCGGAGGGCAGGAAGATCTCCGGCACCACGATGAGGATCTTGCGCTTGGGGGGCGGGTTGATGTTCCAGGTGCACTCCACGTTGGCGGGGTAATTCCCCGGGTAATTTGGGGACTCGATGTAGCCCGTGTACTCGCCCAGCTCGCCCCCGCACTGCCGGTCTGCAAGCAAGGTGGGAGAGGGCACGGAGAGCCAGTCCCACTGGGAACCAGTGGCACGGGGACTGGGACAGCGAGGGTTTACTGGGCAGCAGGGGGGAGAGCGTTCGGTGGCACTGCTCATTGCATACCCAAATAAAATAACCCCAAAATGCTATTTGAAGGAATATCGTCTGCTTTGGAGGAAAGACCCCAGCTCGCAGCACGCCCACCCCCCCGGAGCACCATGCCCTGCTCACTTTTGCACTGGGAC